ATAGATATTCAAGGAATTCATACTAACAAAATTGCAATCATGCTCATCATACAAAGATTTAGTACCAAACATTCTAATGCATTCTTCTTCTAACACTTGGCACAATTACCGAATCCTTATTTTCATGAAAGATATTAAAAAGATGAAGCATATGATGTACCCTCAATTACATTTTTTAATTTTCTTTTATAGACTAAACTAGTGATAAAACAAGAAACAAAAAGATTCGATTGCAAGATCTAAAGATATACCTTCAAGCGCTAACCTCCCCGGCAACGACGCCAGAAAAGAGCTTGATGTCTACTACACAACCTTCTTCTTGTAGACGTTGTTGGGCCTCCAAGTGCAGATGTTTGTAGGGCAGTAGCAAATTTCCCTCAAGTGGATGACCTAAGGTTTATCAATCCGTGGAAGGCGTAGGATGAAGATGGTCTCTCTCAAACAACCCTACAACCAAATAACAAAGAGTCTCTTGTGTCCCCAACACACCCAATACAATGGTAAATTGTATAGGTGCACTAGTTCGGCGAAGAGATGGTGATACAAGTGCAATATGGATGGTAGATATAGGTTTTTGTAATCTGAAAATATAAAAACAGCAAGGTAACTAATGATAAAAGTGAGAACAAACGATATTGCATTGCGTTGAAACAAGGCCTGGGGTTCATACTTTCACTAGTGCAATTTCTCTCAACAATAATAACATAATTGGATCATATAACTATCCCTCAACATGCAACAAAGAGTCACTCCAAAGTCACTAATAGTGGAGAACAATGAAGAGATTATTGTAGGGTATGGAACCACCTCAAAGTTATTCTTTCCGATCAATCCGTTGGGTTATTCCTATAAGTGTCACAAACAGCCCTAGAGTTCGTAGTAAAATAACACCTTAAGATGCAAATCAACCAAAACCCTAATGTCACCTAGATACTCCAATGTCACCTCAAGTATCCGTGGGTATGATTATATGATATGCATCACACAATCTCAGATTCATCTATTCAACCAACACAAAGAATTTCAAAGATTGCCCCAAAGTTTCTACCGGAGAGTCAAGATGAAAACATGTGCCAACCCCTATGCATAAGTTCACGAGGTCACGGAACTCGTAAGTTGATCACCAAAACATACATCAGGTGGATCACATGATATCCCATTGTCACCACAGATAAGCACATGCAAGACATACATCAAGTGTTCTCAAATCCTTAAAGACTCAATCTGATAAAATAACTTCAAAGGGAAAACACAATCCATTACAAGAGAGTAGAGGGGGAGAAACATCATAAGATCCAACTATAATAGCAAAGCTCGCGATACATCAAGATCGTGCCAACTCAAGAACACGAGAGAAAGAGAGAGAGAGAGAGAGAGAGAGAGAGAGAGAGAAAGAGAGAGAGAGAGAGAGAGAGAGAGAGAGATCAAACACAAAGCTACTGGTACATACCCTTAGCCCCGAGGGTGAACTACTCCCTCCTCGTCATGGAGAGCACCAGGATGATGAAGATGGCCACCAGAGAGGGATTCCCCCCTCCGGCAGGGTGTCGTAACGGGTCTATATTGGTTTTCGGTGGCTACGGAGGCTTCTGGCGGCGGAACTCTCGATCTCGGTTATTTTCTGGAGGTTTCTGTATTTATAGAAATTTTTGGCGTATGTCTCATGTCAAGAAGGTGCCCGAGTCGTCCACGACGTAGGCCCACGCGCCCGGGGGGTGGGCGCGCCCCCCACCCTTGTGGACGGCTCGGGACTCTTCTGGCCCAACTCTTTTACTCCGGGGTCTTCTTTTGGTCCATAAAAAATCGTCAAAAATTGGCACGTCAATTGGACTCCATTTGGTATTCCTTTTCTGTAAAACTCAAAAACAAGGAAAAAACGGAAACTGGCACTGGGCTCCGGGTTAATAGATTAGTCCCAAAAATCATATAATATAGCATATAAATGCATATAAAACATTCTAGATGGATAATATAATAGCATGGAACAATCAAAAATTATAGATACATTGGAGATGTGCCTTGCCATGGCATCGACGACTCGCCGGGCTCCCTCGCGCGCCCGGACCACCCGGGCGGCCCCTCGCCCTGGCCAGCATGGTGGTGGTGGCGGCGCTGTCGACGAAGCCACCTCTGCCTGCCCGAGCGCGTGTGTCGGGGATGACGCCTCGTGGCCGAACGCGCACGTCGCGTTCCCGTCATCGGCACCGGGACGGAACAGGACGAGAACCTCCGTCGCCTCCGCCGCCCTCCTCCAACGGCGGTGCCCGCGACTTCCCGGTCGGCTACGGGCGTGGCCGTCGGCACCGAGGCGGACGTGCAGCGGGACAAGCTGCAGGGCGCG